TTTTTGCTTTTGCTTTGTCTGAGATCAGGATTGCTACCCCTGCTTTTTTTACTTCAGCTGAGCATAATATATTCTGCTCCAGCCTTTTACCTTTACCCTGTATGTGTCACTCTTTTTCAAATGTGTTTCCTGTAAACAACATATTGTAGGATTATGGTTTTTAATCCATTCTGCAATCCATTTCTTTTATGGGAGAGTTCATCCACATTCACAGTTATGATTACTATCTGTGTCTTTTTCTCCATCCTTTTTTCCCCCATTTATGCTTTTCTTTCTCCTTTTTCCTTTCACCCCCTTCACTAGCGTTTTGCTTTTGACCTCCTTCAGTCCCTCCCCCTTTTATTATCCCTTTCCCTTTTCTTCCCCTTTAGTCTTACTGCTTCTTCCCTCCCTTCTTTCCCCCCTCCCTTTTCTTTCCCCTTTTCCCTCCTACTGCCTATAGGGCAAGTTAGATTTCTATACCTAACTGATTATGTATATGCCCTTCTTGAGCCAAATCTGATGAGAGTAAGGTTCAAACAATGCTCCCCCTCCCTTCTTTCCCTCTGCTGTAATAGGATTTTGTGTCTTTTCCTGTAATGTAATTTACCCTTGTCTGCCTCCTCCTTTCTCAGTACATTTTCTAAGATCAGATTGATCCACTTATTTGGATCCATTTAACCCACTTGATTAGATTTTTTTTTATCATTACATCAAAGTCAACTAATATCCACCCTCTTTATGTATACTCCTTTAACAGGTGTAATAACAATACAGTTCTCAAGGGTTGCAAGTCTCATATTCCCTTGTAGGGGTTTAAACAGCCCCCCCTTATTAACAACATATTGTATCTTCTGTCCCATTTACCTTTTTAAGTCCTTCTTGAGTCCTGTACTTGAAGATCAAATTTTTTGTTGAGCTCTGGTCTTTTTATCAGGAAAGTTTGGAAGTCTCCTATTTCATTGAATATCCATCCTCCCTTGAAAAATGATGCTCATTTTTGCTGGGTAATTGATCCTTGGCTGCATTCCAAGCTCCTTTGCCTTGGAATATCATGTTCCATGCCCTGCGGTCTTTTAATGTAGAAGCTGCAAGGTCCTGTGTAATCCTGACTGTGGTTCCATGATATTTAAATTGTTTCTTTCTGGCTGCTTGCAGCACCTTCTCTTTCATCTGGTAATTTTGGAATTTTGCTATTATATTCTTGGTGTTGTCAATTTGGGATCTCTTTCAGGTGGTGATGGTGGATTCTTTCTATGGTTATTTTCCCTTCTGGTTCTAGGACTTCGGGCAGTTTTCCTTTATGATTTCCTGAAAGATACTGTCCAGGCTCTTTTTTTCATCATGATTTTCAGGTAGTCCAATAATTTTTAAATTGTCTCTCCTGAGTCGATTTTCCAGGTCGGTTGTTTTACTGATGAGGTATTTTACATTTTCATCTATTTTTTCAATTTTTTGTTTCTGTTTGACTGATTCTTGCTCTCTCATAGAGACATTAGTTTCCATTTGTCCAATTCTAGTTTTTAACAGATTGTTTTCTTCTGTTAGTTTTTGTACTTCCTTCTTCAATTGGCCAATTGTGTTTTTAGGGACTTGTTTTCTTCAGTGTATTTTTTTCCTTTTGGCCAATTGTGTTTTTAGGGACTTGTTTTCTTCAGTGTATTTTTTTCCAATTGGCCAATTGTATTTTTGAAGGACTTCTACCTCTCTCATTTGACTATTAAAATCCTTCTTGATCTCTTCTAAGAGGGCTTTTTGGACTTCAGACCAGTTCATATTCCCATTTGTTGTTGCAGATGTGGGTTTGTTGACAATGTTGTCCTCTTCAGAATTTCTGTCTTGATCTTCACTCTTCTCATAATATGAATCTATGGATGTTTCTTTTTACTCATGGTGTTTCTTTATTCCCTGGCCTTTAAAGAGATTGAGCTCTCCTGCTGGGGAACAGAGGGTACTGACCCAAGCTTCTTGTGTTGGGAGCCTAGGTCTTGGTCACTGGCTTTGTGTGCTGGGGCCTCTTATGCTGGCAATTGGAGGCTGTAGGTTTCTGGCAGCTTACCTGTTGGGCTGGAATCAGCAAGGCTGGAACTTTCAGGCAATTCTAGGTTGCCTGCTTTTCCTTTCCTTTTCTTCAGCTCCTTTTAGATGGGTGCTGCAGGTGTTTATCTGCCTGGGGCCCCCTGCAGTGTTGTCTCCCTGTTTCTGCTAATGCACTGGGAGATTCCTTTGTGTAGAGTGCCGAGGCACCTGGTGGTTTTCTGAGCTGGTTTCCACGGTTCCCCCACCCTCACTGAGGCACTCGAGGTCCAGGTGTTGGTGTTTGCCTTCTACCACCTGGGCTTCAGGATTTCTTCACAATTGGAGGCTCAGGCTCTGACAGCTCACCTGGTTTGGGTTGGAATCAGCAAGGCCGGGCTTTAGGAAGCCTTTAGGTTGTTTTCTTCACCTCCTTTCAGATGAATGCTGCAGGGTACTTATCGCCTGGGGCCCCTTGTAGTTCTGCCTCCCTTTTTTTGCTGAGGCACTGGGAGACCGTTTGCTGGGCTGCTGCACTGCTCCCTGTCTTTCTTCTAGTTCAGGTGTTCAGGGTTTTTTTCTGGGGTGATATTTTCTGGGTTTTCAGAGGTTGATAAGGAAGAGCGAGAGCGACTACCTTTTCACACCGCCATCTGGGCTCCTGGAACAAAACCCTTACTTCTTTACTATTAATGGCAACTGTTTCCTTTTTTTTACCCAGGCTTGAAATTTCAATGTCAGCTCCAATACTTCTCTCTACTTTCTATGTCCATTCTGACCCGATGTACAAACTATTCTCTCCATTCTTATTAATACTAACCTAGTTTTAGCCTTTAGTGTGGTCTTCCTGCCTCTAGCTTTTCCACGGCTACAATTCACCCTGTAATCTGTTGCCATTTTAATCAGCCTAGAGCACAATTTTGACCAGGTGCTACCATTGCCCCCACACGTTCAATGGCACTTAGCTGACCTACTAGCACTGTCTACCAGGGACAGGGGTTAGGAAACATTCCGCTGACTTTGTTGGTATAGGGAGCTCCTAGTGGGGAAGAGCCTCTATCAATTAAAAGAGCTGCTATTTGGTGATACTGTTATTGATGTAATTAAGGTATCTCCTTATATACCACCAGAAAGCAACCAATCCACGATATAATTAAAAGCAATCTGTAAAACTGGTAATTTGCATATTACCACAGAATGATTTTTAAATGTCATCTATTTCAACTCTCTCATTTTATAGAATTATAATAAAAATATGTTGAAATGGAGAATGAATGAGTTGTTCAAACAGAAGAGTAAGCCACAAGTATAGAAAAAGGAGAGTTGGAGAACGCGAATTAATCATTTATGCAATACTGTGTTAACAGTCTCTCTTAGATGCTACACAGCAGACATAAACCATCTAGTTAGTATAGTGGAACAGACAGAAATCTGATCTGGGTATTATCTTATAAATTTTCCCAAGATCAGTTCATTCCTTCTGCTCTGATTCCACACTCACCAAGAAACCTTCTCATTTCTAGTTTAGTCTTAGGTATGAAGAAGAAGGTACTGTGAATAGTGGACACAAACATTCTGGACACTGAAATGGTACAGTCCTCATGGCAAATTGGCATTTTACTTTATAAATCAGTCCTTTGTGAATTTGGATGGAATAAATCACTGATCTAGGGTCTGATAATAGTGAATTGTTAAAACTGAGTTTCTGAAACTGCAAAACAGAGAACTGTGTGTAGTTACAACTCCATCACAGCATAGTACTATCTTGAAGCCTGGACTGATATAGCCCCATAATACAAACAAAGAAGGAAATGAAAAGGGCTAATCCAAATTGAGGGGGGTGGGAGGGGAGTAAAGACAGGATTAATAATTATTCACATTTATATAGCATTTTAAAGTTTGCCAAGTGTGTTCCTCACAATAATCTTGTGAGGTAGGAAGGGGAGCAAAGGGACCTATAGCAAGTATTTTAGAAGTGTAAAATTCAATGCACACTACCTTTAAAATGTGTAATGTGAAACCATGAATGGGATATTGCCAGGAGTAATTGTAATATCCCATGGATGGGGAGGTAAAAGGAAACCTCTAGCTAGGCCAGTTGAGAGGATGGTGCCCAGGAGACAGTTGTGCAGAACCTGATCAAAAAAAAAAAAGCTGAGACAGAAGATAGAGTAAGGATCCAGTGGTGGATACCAAGTGCAGTGACAGCAGTTAGAGCCCTCTAGAATACCCTGAAGAAGGAACAAGACAGAATATCCAGAATGTTTCAATGGAGAAAATAAGATCTAAGCCACAAAGCAGAAAGAAGTGAGTGAGAAAAGAAGGCTCTTACTCTTATAAGGACTAGATGGAGGCTAAAAGACCATCGTTTGTCCAAGACTGGGGCATAACCTGCTCATTACATTATATATTAAAGGTCCAGACCTAGAAAGGACTAAAAGAGAATTATGAACCTGGAGGTACTTATAGCCACAGTTCGTAACAATAATAAGGACCCATGCTTTAAATATGCATGAAGATAATTAAATAATAAGCATAAATTAGACTCATGAGATAACTGAATATTGTTTGTAGCCAAAGACACTTTTCAAGGTAAAAAGGTTCAGCATTAGTATATCTAAATTGCCTTAGGTGCTGGATTACATTAGAAAAAATGGAGAGGAAGAATACAGTGCTGGAAAAGCCTGAGAATGTGGGAGGAAAGGTTGAAACTCAGGGGCTTGGTCATTATTTGGGGGGAAAAAAAAAAGCCACTTCCCTTCCTCCTTGCCCCTCCCCCACTTTTAACCAGAGGAAATCATGGCAACAAAGAAGGAACCTTTGATCATGTAGTGAAAGAGACCCCAAGCTCTACTACTCTAGTAGTTTTACCCATTTCTTACTGTAGATCCAGTATTAGACACTTTATCACCAAAAAATATACACATTTTTGGAAACTGAACTTTAAAAAATTAAGGCCTAGTCTTGAAAGATGAAACAACTAATAAATTGTATCCAATTCTTACCAAGCAACAAAAACATGTATCCATAATCCCTATCAACTCCGGTAAAGTTAGGTCTTTAATTTTTATGGTGCCATCCTAAAAAGGAAAACAAAAATCACATGTGTAAACAACAACCAAAAATTTATAAATCAAAAAAAAAAACACTGCCCACATAATTAAGTGATTTTCAAGAAACATCTAACTAAATAAGCTCATAAGATAGAGTCCTGAACCACAACACTTATGCTGACATATTTTCACATTTTATTTGAAAACCAATTTGAATTTCTTAAAACAGCAATTTTAGGAAAATGCCAACTCATATTTTCCAATCTGCAGGCTAGAAACAATAAGTTAATTCACATTTTGGACTCTCCAGAACATGAGTGAATGAATAACAGAAAAATTCTTAACTTCACAAATCTGAGCAGGGGAGAAAGGCAGCAAATTAGTAAAATATATAACAAATTTTAAAAATGGAAAGAAATGCAGCAACATTACTTTCGGGAACAATGAGTAACTCCTTAGCCTTACTTCTTGAAAGATAAGACTAATCTGTAATTAGTCCCAGTTAATTGAATGGAAACAACAAGATTTAGCTTACTGTTTCCATTCAAAACAATTGTTTCCATTAAAGACAACAAATCTAAGTTCTAAGTCTCTGATGCAGCAGACTAAATCCTCTCATACTAACTTAACTGTGTGACCAGGGGAAAGTCATAACTTCTCTTAGCTTGCTTCTACATCTGTAAAATGGGCATAATAATACTTGCAATACTCCACAGGGTTGCGGAAAAAAAATGCTTTATAAATCTTAGAAGTGCTCTATATATGTCACCTATTAGTATTTTTAAAAGTTGGATCCCATAAACAAGCTAATTTGTCGTTCAGTGGTGTCCAACCCTTGTGACTTCATTTGGGGTTTTCTTGGCAAAGACAATGGAGTGCTTTGCCATTTCCTTCTCCAGCTCATTTTACATATGAAAAGAATGAGGCAAAAAGGATTAAGTGACTTGCCCAGGGTCACATAGCTATTAAGTGTCTGAGGCCAGATTTGAGCTCAGAAAGAGGAGTCTTCCTGACTCCAGGTCCAGCACTCTGCACTATAGCGCCACCTAGCTGCTGCCCTTAGACAAGTTTAATAGGCCATTAATTTTGCTAACAATATCACTTTCCTTAGTATAGCTATTTTCCATTAATACTACAAAGTTAAGCTTCACTCTAGTTTATAACTGAATTCAAAATTTTCTTTCAAATAGATTTTTAAATTAACAGTACTATATATTACTTGTTATAGTGATAAAAAATTTCAAATGAACTGTCATGCTGACACTTTAAATGTATTTTTTAAAAAATTAATGAAATTACTGATGTAAATTCATCTTATTCTTTTAATGAACATTAAATGTATTTTGTGTGTGTGTTTCAAATGGACAGTGGTATCAGAAATTATGTTAAGTAGCACTTATCTAAATGATTAAAGATACCTAGAAGAAAAAGTGCCTCTTAGAGTAAATATGACAGTAATACAAATGGTTGTTTTATTACTTTATTTAAAATTCTGAAATTATAAAAATAAGAGTATAATGATAATCACGCACCTTGATAGCTTGCTCAAAATTGAGAACTTTCCGATTAACTTGGTTTCCAATCATGCCAGCATCCATCTTGGGATCCATCATTTCAATGGCAGACATAGCTTCAAAAAGACCAAAGCTGCAGAAAAAATCCCAACAAATTATAGTCCTTCAACCAATCCATTAGTCTGCCTATAAGCTAGTCATTGATCACATAAATTTTTTTTTGGTAAAGGTTTTTTTCAATCTCTGAGGCTTACATTTCAACTGAATGTCATCCACTTAGTTACACAAAAATTATAAACAAATATTTCCTATCTAGCATAATGAACTGGCTATGTAAATACACAATGGTAGGAAAACAGCTTTCTAGGAGGCAATTCCAAAAATTTTAAAAAAAGCTTATACATTCAGTCAGCAATATGACAATGGCAAAGAGGTTGATGTGACTCTGCGATTCAAGCCCTAACTTGTATCAATTACCAACTGTTCAATTTGCACATCAAGTCATGTTACAGTAGGGTTTACTGAATCATTAAAGTGAGATTTGGTTAAGATGCTGGCGACCACATTTCCTTCTGTATGTTTTCCTCTTTGCCTTCCAAGATATAGTTCATTCAATTGTTCCTTTTCAATCTCCTTGTCCAGATACCAACCAAAGAATATTGTTGGTCAACAAGGTTCTGTCTGCTGCCCTTTTCACTCTTCCCCTTGACATCATACAATCTAACCCCACACTACCTTTTCAGACTTAGCTCATGTTACCTCTTTCTATGTACTCTCTGCAGCATCCCAAAAGGAGCACTCACTGTTCCCCAAGCGTAGTTGAATTTTCTTACCTCCAAGTCTTTGTTTAGGCTATTCCCTATATTTTAAATGTTCTCTCTTCTCCTCTTACCTATCTATTAAACACTTAACCATTAGTTAAGGTCCAACTCAAATGCTACTTCCTTTACGAAGCTTTACTCCAATTGTCAACAATGAGAGGTATCACATAACATTTTGTGAGCTTAGCCTGTATTACTATAACTTAATCTCTCCTTTCCTAGACAATAAGCTCTATATTAAACTTTGTATTTCTCCTAGTGCGTAACAAAGGGTTCTATACCCAGTAGAAACTTTAGTTTGCTGAAAAAAAAATACAAAATATTTTTTGCATAAGTCTCAGTCCCTAGTCAAAGGAAGACATGAATATTAAACACTTTACCACTGGTTAAAGAGCATTAGTTAATTTGGAATTTCACAGTGTAACCCACAAAGTTTCAGAAGAGAGGTGGCAGAATAACTGGGCATAAGTACTTTGTTATTGTTCAGTTGTACACTGGAGACATCACAAAACCAGATCCTTTCCACTTCCTAATACTCTTATTATTGCATTGTCACCTGTTCCTTGGGCAAAAGAAAGTAAATCACTTACATTCTTTTTTATATTTTATTTTTAAAGATATTTACTGAAGATTAAACATGGGAACAATCAACTGAATAGAGGATGAATAAACAAGTATGGCATGCTCCTATAAACATAAGGTGAACAAGGTTAAATACATAATAAGCTGATACTGGCAAAGAAAGGTAAGGACATAAAACAATGTGCTTTTGAATCACTTACATTTTTAACCCCTTTATTTCTACAGACTCTACTTTATTAAGTGAACAGTAAGGGACAGCTATAGGGTCACATGGAATCCTATAGGGAAGATAAGTTAGGCAAGGAAGTAGCCAAAAATGGCCTCATCGAATTAAAAAAAGTGGTATTTTGACTATCAATGTGCCCGGTGCCACAAAATAGTTCACCAGGTTGTATAAATGTTTATAATTAGGCATTTTTAAAAAAAAGTTCTGAAGTATATGATTAGATAATTCATATTCCATGAGAATACTACTCTCCAAGAGTTCATATTACCTACACATTATTAAATCATCCCATTTCAAAGGCAACTTCAATAATATACTTACAGTTTGTCATGAAGCAGTTCTCCCAATTTCAATTCTAAAAACAAAGTAAAAATGTAGTACTTTTAATTCCAGAGTATAACACTTTTTAAAAAAGTGGTATCACAAAATAATACTTGTACGTTTTAACCTGTCTCATAAGAAAGCATTAATTCAATGCCCAGGATTATGCCTCACATAGAATAGGCATCCATATATCGACTAAACTATACAGTACTTAGATTAAGTAACTTGGAAACAAATTTTAAGTTGTGAGAAAACAGTCATCCTAAGATTGGCTATGCTCACCTTGAATCCCAACTGTATTCAAATCACTACTTCTTAAAAAAAGACACTGGTATATCTACAACAAACACTGCTACTTTAAAAAGTGTTTTGGAAACACTGCTGCCACAAAGTAATCTCTTTGTTCAAATGTACTTGAATCTAACATTTCTTTACAAATATAAAAACTGATCAAATCCATTAATACATTATTAATAGCAAAAAAAAATTAATCTAAATATTGCCTCTTTCCTAAAGACATAAAAGTAGTAGTAAAATTTAGACGAGATTCAACTTATTCTTTAATTTATAGGTTTTTTAAAGTATTTTTAAGAAAGAAATTAAGGGAGAATAATACTTCTAAGACCACAAATTACATGTTAAAGAAGTAGGCATTGGTTAAGGAATAGGATCAGTGAGCAAACTAAATACAAAAGAACAAGAAATCATGAAACTCATATAAACCTAAACTCAATAAAGCTAAAGACAATAAATTACATGAGGAAAAGCTACGTATTTGATAGGAGCTGAGGGCAAACCAAAAAGGAGCTTAGCAAAAATCAGGTTTAAGCGAACATCTTACACTATACATCCCTCCCCCCAATCTGAAATGGGTATATGACCTAAAAGAATAAGGGCTACATTATTTAAGAGAGAGAGGGAGAGAGAGAAAGAGAAAGGGAGACAGGTAGGGAGAGAGAGAGAGAGGGAGGGAGAGAGAGAGAGAGGGAGAGAGAGAGCAGAGAGAGCATGAAATTGGGTATCTTTCACAACTGAGGGTTAAGAGAAGAATTCTTAACCAAAAGAAAGTCATAATCACAAAATAAAAAGAGATAATTTCAGTTACATAAATCTGAAAAGCTGGTGAATAAACAAAATAAACGTGGCTAGGACAAGAAAGGTGTCTATTTTGGGGGAAAATCATTTGCATAAAATTTTTCTGATAAACTAGATATGTAAGGAATTCACACAAGTATATAGGGACTTTCTCCAAGGGGTATTAGGTCAAAGGACAGCAACAAACAGTTCTCAAGAGATTCTAACTATTAAAAACCATATGCAGGACTGATCACACTAAAAAAGTATAATCTCTTTGAAACTCAAAGCAACTCTAAGGTTTTACCCTCATGCCTAGTAAATTGACAAGATGACATAAAATGGAAAGAATCAATGTTGGAGAGGTCATTGAAAGAAAGACACACTAGAATACTGTTGGTAAACACTAAACAGCTCCCCACTGGTCCACCCTTTCTAGAAAGCAATCTGGAATTATACTAAGAAAATGAACAAAATATCCAACACCTTTTAACGCAAAGATCCTGTCGCTAGGAATATACCCCAAGGTGGTCAAGACAGAAGGAAAAGTCCTATATATACCAAATGTCCAAAAGTTTTAGCATTCTTTTTTTTTTACAAAATTTGAGTTCCAAATTTTTCTTTCTTTCTCTCTCCCTCCCCTCTTCTGAAAATGGTAGACAGTTTAATATAGTTTATACATATGCTATCATGTAAAACATATTTCCATATTCATCACAGTTGTGGAAGAAGAATCAAAAGGGCAAAAAAAAGACAAGAAAGAGTAAAGTAAGTGAAAAAAATATGCTTCGATCTTCATTCAGAGTCCATCAGTTCTTTATCTGGATATGGATAACATTTTCCTTCCTGAGTCCTTTGTACTTGTCTTGGATCATCGTATTGCTGAGAAAAGTCGAGTCATTCATATATTGTATACAATGTTTTCCCAGTTCCACTCATTTCACTTTGCATCAGTTTGTACAAGTCTTTCCAGCTTTTTCTGAAATGTGCCTGTTCATCATGTCTTACTGCACAATAGTAGTTCGTGACATTCATATACCACGCTTTGTTCACACATCCCCTCAATTTCCAATATTTTGCCACCATGAATAGGGCAGCTATAAATATTTTTGCATATGTAGGTCCTTTCCCCTTTTTTTAATGACCTCTTTGGGATACAGACCTAGTAGTGGTATTGCCGGATCAAAGGGTATAGTTGCCCTTTGGGCACAGTTCCAAATTGCTCTCCAGAATGGTTGGATCAGTTCTCAACTCCACCAACAATGTCCCAATTTTCCCATATCCCCTACAACATTTATCATTTTCCTTTTTTGTCATATTAACCAACCTGATTGGTGTCAGTTGGTATTTCAGAGTTGCTTCAATTTGTATTTCTCTAATCCAAAGTGATTTAGAGCACTTCTTCCAAAGCCTACAGACAGCTTTGATCTCTTCATCTAAAAGCTGCCTGTTCATATCCTTTGACCATTTATCAATTGGGAAATGGTTTATATTCTCATAAACTTGACTCAGTTCTCCACATAATTGAGAAATGAGGCCTTTATCAGATACTTGCTGAAAAGCAGGACTTTTCATGGTAGCAAAGAACTGAAAATAAAAGTTGATGCCTTAAGTTTAGCTACACACTGTGGGAAGAGCTAAACAAACTGTGCTACGTAAATGAAATGGCATATTACTGTGCTCGTAAGATACAATGAATAGGAATACACAGAAGACTTATATAAGAGTAAAGATTTATATGGCCCCATACAAGTGAAATAAGAATTAGGAAAACAATACATGATGGCAACAATTTAAACAAAAGAACACAAAAAAGAAACTGAGCTCCATATAATTATAATGGCACAGCTTGGCCTTAGAGAAGAGTTGAAAAAATATATTTCTCTCCTTTTTTTCAGAGATGGGGGGAGCTGGGGTAGGGGAGTGGGTATAATTATGGGTATGGATTATTACATATATCATTAGACCTTATTTATGTATTTGTTTTTAAAGCTGAGCTGCTTTTTTGCCCTCTTTTTAATATTTGTTTCATAGAATGCTGGGGAGAGATTTATTCTGAAATAAAAGTGATGTAAAAACAAAAGATATCAATGTTAACTTTTTTACTAATATGTTTCATTATGCTTGCTTTTCTAATTGCTGAATCATCCACATCTTAACCCCTTGTAATCTGGCTTCTAACCTCACCACATGTATGAAAATACTCTCTCCAAGGTTATTGATGATTTCATCAACAAATCTAATGGTCATTCTTCAGTTCCTATACTTCGTGGCATGTGACACTGTTGAACATCCCCCCTCCTCTTCTTTCATGACTGCTTTTTTCTGTTTCTTCTACCTGTCTGATCACGCCTTAGTTTTAAAACTATGTACCGACAGAATAGCAATATGGGCTGCTAATCCAACTGCATATCATTGTTTGGACAAAAAACATTTTTATCTACTTTCTTACATGTACAGTAAAGCCAAACGGATTACTAATCTTATTTAGAAGATTCTGTAGTGTTGTGTGCTTGATACATAATGTCATCTACAAGCACTCTGCATTAGATGCTATCAAGATGATGGCAAATACCTTTAGTAAGTATATATTATCCTGTTTCATACTTTGTTTGCTAATAAGTCAGAGGAGTTATAGCTGAAGAAATCTTGCATAATTTTTGATACATGAAAAGGAGGTATCTGAAGGACAAGTCATTAGGGCCACATTTTATTTTACTGAGACAAATGCTTTTTTAGGCAACAATAAGCATAACAGAATCTTGCCTTTCCTATACTTTTCAGCGAATTGTGAGATTATGAAGATGTGATCTGCTCTTCCAAAAGTCAGCTTGTCTCCTTTTCACACTTTCATTTAGAATGTCCTGTGGAATTCAGAGAATCATCAGAGGGAATTCAGAGAAACATAAGAAGGTTAGTAAGAACTGAAGCAAAATAAAGTAAGTGGAACCAAAAGGATAATGACTACAACTACGTAAAGGAAATGATCATACACTCTGAGAAACTGAAAAGCCAAAGCAGGTTCTAGAGAACAAATAATACAACAACTCTCCCCTCACAGCCCAGGGCAGATGAATGCTAGGATAGAATATTGTTTGTATACATTGTCAGAGGTGGTTGCAGTGTCTGATGTTTTTGCTTAACTGTCTTTCTTCATCCCAAGGGAAGCCTCAACGAGTCACTGAAATGACTAAGATATAAAGGCAACAAAACATTTACTTTAAAAAAAATGCTCTTAATAAAAGTACAAAGTTTTCTCAAAGATTTCCTAATAATAAAACAGGCAAAAGGGTTGTTAGTTACTGATACTTTCTCAATCACTTTTTCTTTTGGAAGTAATAAGATTTGTGCCTTTTTCTAAGCATTTAGTAAACACCGTCTTTCTGAAAATTGAATTTTATGTTTTTCAATTAACAAACACTTATTTTCTCTATTTCCTGTCACCTTTCCCCTAACAAGGAAGGAAAAAGAAAAGAAAAGCAAAAGCCTAATAACAACTATGCACAGTCAAACCAAACAACTTCTCATGTTGGCTGTGTCTAAGACTCTAAATGTCATTCTGCATGAGTTCATCCCCTCTGTTAGGAGTTAGGTAGCATCTTCAACACTAGCCCTCAGAAATCTTGGTTGGTCACCACAATGATCAGAGTTCTTAAATCTTTGATAGCTGTTAACTTTTATGACATTGTTAATACTGTGTAAATTGTTCTCCTGGTTCTGCTCACTTCATTCCGCAACAGTTTGTACAAGTTTTCTCAGAGTGCTCTAACTGTTGGTATCCTACTGTCCCCTTCTTCACTTATCTTTAAGAACTGACTCCTCAAAACCCTCAAAATCATGTTATCTCTAAGATGGACCTCTTCTGTATACACTTGGATCTGGTCTTGCTGATCTTTTTTTTTCTTTAATACAATTTCTACTTCCTCATGCAGTTGCAATACTGGAATTCAACTGTCG